GTTAATACAATAGCAGTCTACTTTGCACAGTTTTGGGGTCTAGAAGTACAATTTTGAATTCTTATTATTCCATTGTAACCATCTGAGATTTTCTATGCTGTCATAAGGATTAATAGTGAAAATGGAAACCATCTAATCACACATACACAAGTGTCTCAGCAGCTTTAGTCATGATGAAAACAGAAAAAGGCAGCGATGGCAATAAGAGACTTAAAGCTAAGGCAAATCTAATACACTCAAAACATAGGAGTAGTGTATAAACCTTGCTCTAGAAGTGCTGTGTAATCAAATATTTGGTTAAAAAATAGTTTGTTGATTCAGTTAAATAGTCTTCCTTTCCCTTTTTAAAAAGGGAATTTTTTAAAGCTTCTGTCAATAGCTGAACTTCTTAGAGAAAATATTGCTGAAGGCGTTGTCTTACATGCTGGGCTACATATTGCCCAGTTAAGGACCCTGTCAAAAAGAGAAGGATGATACACATGTGAGAGAGAAAAGAAAAAAGTAGCGCAGAAATAGAGTTGATGCAAAGACAAGCTTAAGAGAACGGGAATGAAAAAATGTATGGAAAAGGAAGGGAAGAGACAGTTTTTCAGAAGTGTTTTTGTTTCCTCAAAAGAAATAATGTCTGCTACTCAAGCAAACAGAGACCAAGCGAGAATTTTTCATCTTTGTGACTAAATAATAACTTACAGTAAAAGCTCTTCTTCTGAAGATGGAAACAAAACTGGAACACAGTTTTATTTCACATTTCTACCAGCACTGCATTGGGAGGATGAACTGAAAGGATGCAGTGCCCATCCCTAGAGCACTGAAAGACAGAAAGATTTAATCTATAGAGTCCCCATCAGGTATCAGATTATTCAAGAAAAATTAACCCACATATGCCTGTAGCAATGTAGCTATGAGCAGATGGTTTCCTTCATTCCAGCTAGGAAATATGGCACCATTCCCCAGGTGCCCTTTGCTACCTATGCTGAAGGTTACCATTGGCCAATTCATCTGCCAAGCAACACAGTTTATGATTCTGTAATTCCTTCAGGCAAAATCCAGGTGCAATCACACTGCCAACTTAAATTGTTTGAGCAAATGTGGTGGATTTTGTCTATAGTAAATTAGGCAGCGCTCACACAGAGCCGGCAGAGGAATGGCGGGGTGACAGTTCTGATGGTGTGGTATAAGGAGCAGATGGAAACAACACCCTCTTTTAGCAGCACAGCTAAACATGGAGATCTGTCAGGGGCTGTGTAAGCATAAGATCAAACTACTGCATTTCACTGGCACCTCTAATGCTGCAGGACAGGTTTCACATTCTGACTCCCATGGGAAAATGAAAAGGCAAAAATAAAAAGAGTTTAATGTTGTTAAGTAGTTCTCCAAGGCAAACCGGCCTAGAGTTAAAAGAATTAAAAAAACCCCACCTCTATCTTTAAAATTCATCTACTCTTTCTGATTTATCCTGCAGAGAAATCATAATCCTGCAACTGATGAAACCATAGCATGTTACCTTGGTAACTGGTAACTCAAATTCAGTCTTAAGAATACACTCAAAGGTCAGACTGCATGAAAAGTTCAGCTAAGGAAGGTATAACTCATGTTGAAAGGTAAGTACAAGAAGAAAATGACACTGATATTTCTGATTCCAAAAGTTCCATACAATAAATATAAGCATGCTGGGAAAAAAAGAATAAGATCACACAATGTCAACACTGAGACTGCAAACATAAACCTATCTTAGGAAGCTCTGAATATATGTTATGACAACATCTATAGTTATAGGAATATGCTATTGGTCAAAACCATCAAATTATTGTCATGCCATTTTCTACCATCTAAATGAACACGTGTTATACGCTAGAGAAAAAAAATTTGCATTAAACCAGTCAGGTTCACTAATAGAAGCAAACATTTCATCCTGTACTTTAAGCATACTTTTCAATGTTTTGGTCAAAACACTGGGTATTCCCCATTTTTCTTACATACAGCAGCACAACTTTTCTTAGGATATACTCCAGCACTGAAGCAGTTTCAGACTCAAAGACCTATCTGTGCCCATACATTTGCAGTGTTAATGAAATATGTATTATACTGTATTTTGTGCATAATGTAATTGCAACATACAGCAAGCTTTTCATGTATGTAATATTTGCGAATTGCATGTAGCATAAAATCCTGTAATTTTAGAGATCTATCTATGGGTGTAAACACAATATGATTTCATATCTAGGAAAAAGTTATGAACATGTACAACCAGGCTTGAAATACAAAATGGAGCAGAATTAAGGCAGAATTTACAACCCTTAACACAGAAACTCAACCTCGGTCTAGGTGCTTCATGTCAAACTTCAGAGAGCGAGATGCAGAGAAAAACGAGCATACAAAACCACACTCTCATCGAGAAGTCAAGCATGAAAAATTCTGGCCCCAAAGGCAATGGTTTTGAAAACCATCAGGCAACCAACTTTGGCACACACCTGGATGGTTCTTCAGAAAGCGCCATCTTTTAAGCTAGACCTATAAACAAAGCAATTTTAAAACATCTCCATTTCTACATGACCTTGAAAGCCCTATAAGGTGTCAAAGGCATTGCACGATGCTCTCATGAAAACATCATTAGGAAATGATGTCTTCCTGAAAAAGTAGAACATGAAAACAAAGTGATGTGCCCCACAAGTCTTCTGCAGTTTCCATGTGATGAGGTGTTGCAGAACACTTGGCACAACACAACAGAAGCACTGACTCTGCTCTCGCAGAAGGGCACTTGTACTGATTCAAGAGAAATAGGGAAGGTCCTGAAATGAGGGAAAAAGAGAAGAATTTACTCCAGTGCCATAACTTCTTGATATTTTTTGTGTCCTTGGCCTGTCAGCTCCAGGAGACAAGTCCTCAGCTGAATGAAACACATCTATAATTTTCTAACCATTATAAGTATGGTTACTTATAACTGCTTACTATTACTATTGCTTAGCAACAGGTACCTTTCATTCTATTTGATGACTGCTTATTATAGGACTTAAAAGGAAGTATCTTTTAAGCTTTCTTTGGCTTTGTGAGTTAAAAGCTCTAACCAATATTACACGTGCCTGTGTAGGATGTGAGCCTGAATCAAAGCTAAGAGCACACTTTTTTATAACTACAATGAAAGACTCAAATGGACTGGCTAAATACATTTCATGGCTTATACAGACTAACAGAGGACATGTTCAGGGGCTTGAAGAGAATGAAGTAAAATCTGTAAACATTCATGTTGCTGTGCATGTCAGAAAGCATCCAAAAAGAATTATCCTAAATCATGACTTTTTTCAGACTGAGAAGGGGGGAAAGAAAATAGAAGTTTTGTTCCATAACTATGGAATACAGATAAAAACCAGTACATGCATGTCTATGTATACAGACACAAATGCACTGCAGTAACTTGGGGGAAGTTTGGGTGAGAGTGTACTTTGCTACTTTATGTGCAAAACGTTTCTAATAGACATACTGGATTTCTGCTAACAAAAGCAGAAAAGCTTGTTAGCAGCAGGGGGAAGAGGAGGGAGTTAGGTACAAGAAAAAATATTCAGTTTTGTTCATTTAATCAAAATCAGTATCCTTGGCTAAAGATTCTTTCAAGCTGACAACTGCACCTGTTGAATATTGTACCTTCTTATCAGAAGGTGGTCTGAAAAATGTATAAAGCTAATTGTGTTGATACTTTGCACCTGCAAGCCTTCACTATAGAATAAAGGTGCGTCATCTGTCTAACACTATAGGGATAGTAGCCATCTAGGTAAAGATAGATATATATCTGAGATAGAAACTCAGAGAAGCAAACAGATGAGAAATACTCTGGTCTCTGGACTATTCGTACAAAACTAAGTTCAACACATCCAGCACTGCAAACAAGAATTCCAGGATGCCAGCACAAATCTCTCATACTGGTAAAAATCCTGATGTTGCAGCTGCATTAAAAATCAATACTACAACTAAAATCTGTTGCATGAAACTCACCAGTACTACACAAATGATATACAGATGAAAAAATAGTTTTAATTCTTGTTATGCAAGAAAGAAATTACAAATAAGTCCTAATAACTTTAAAACCCTTGATATAAAATTATGTCATTAAAATCTGGAGGGGGGGAAGAACATGTAAAGAAAAATACAGGATAAAATACACGATTAAAAAAAAAGCGAAAATTATACAAAGCTCCACAAAATAAAGTGGTTGTGGGTTTTTTGTTGTTCTGTGGGGTTTGTTTGTTTGTTTGTTTAAACTGAAGAGTGGCACAAGGGTTGGTTCTGATTTCCTTATCTTTGGACTACTACTATTATCACTAAGAAGCTGTTGCTTTTGTTGCAACACACTTGCACATCAGAAAGTCTTCTTAGACTTATGAAGCAGATCTAATCTGCACTTAGAGAAAGCAACAAGGAACAAGGAACATAGCCACAGAAGAAGATGAGATTTGGTGACAAGGACCTGCTGTGGACAAAGTATTCTTCGCATCATCTCATGGAATCACTCTACTTAGCCTTCAGTATTGACATAGACTGACGACTGTATTCAGGGAAAAAATGTATTTTAACAAATCAGAAAACAAAATTCAGTATATCACTTCAAAGAAGTGGAAGGGTTTACAGGAGAATGACACTGATGCAGAACGCTCACCTTTCCTTATAAGTTTCCTATGGGATAAGACACACTCCAATTTTTTTTCCCTCAAAATGGTATATTCAAGTAAAATCTAAAATAAATTAAACTACATCAGCCTTCAAAGGAAAACATTATGGTTTCAAAAGGTTTTTATTGTAACACAAAAAATTGAGCACAGCAAGCAGTTTGTGCACACAATGGAAAGGTAATTTGATAAATAGCTTTCCATCATTCAAGGCTACAACTGCACAAAACCTTGCTATCAGCACTCTCACCAAAGATACTGACTCTTCCCTATATCATTTTTCTGCGTCTTTTTCCATTTTTGTTTACTCTAGTCAATGATGTAAAAAAAAATGTTGCTTACCACCTGTATGCAACACCTTACAATCTGCTGCTGAAGGGTCATTTTCACCCTCTTTAACGTTGCTGATGTTGTCTTTTTCAAGCAGTCTGTCCACCATGGCAATAACGCAGTTTAAACTCTTTCACACCCTGTCCTGAAAAAAGCATAATTATCACTGCACATTAGTGAAGGAAAAAAAAAAAAAGAGACAATACTTCTTATTAACACCTTGAAGTGGAGACAGGGACTAGAAATATTACTAGAAATATTACATGTCAGCATATTACAATTTTTCTTGTTCTTCAGCCTGCTACCAACTTAAGCCTTTTTTCATGGCGTTGTTTCTTGCAGTATAAATGACTAAACTGAAAGTGTTTGGGTTTTGTAGACACTGGAAAACACCGATGCTTTAAAATCTACATGAAAATGCATGCAAAGTTTTGGGTCCAGTCACAAGGAATGGAGCAGTTTGTCTATTTGACATAATACATACAGTAAGAGCGTAGACATTCAAAGTCTTGCCAAATCATATCTCGTGTGCAACTGCCAGTTTTGCCATATTACTTGACTATGCCAAAAACCACTCTGCTCGATAATTTAACATACCCTCTATTTTATCACATCAATTACTCTGTTAAAGCAAATGTAAAATTAAAGGACTAGAATTAGAAACTTGCTGTCATTACACGTTTATTAGGTAACACAATTTCAATTTCATTCTTCACCTCTCATACAAACTGCAACCACCACACTTAACTGAATTTATAATAAATATGAGAATTACAAAATTAATAGAGTAATAGAAGAAATTCTGTAAAAGAGATAAAGTAGAATGAAAGAAAGAGCTGTTACGGAACAGAGATACAGGAATGTATCTCCTTCAGATGCTGGATGCTGCAGAAATTGAAGCTTTTGCACCTACTTTTGTGGGTCTGAATAAGAAAAAGGAAAAAACCAAGCCATACAAGAAATGAGGATGTACACAAGGCTAGCAATCAGACTAAAACCAAAATGTAACAAACCCACAAAAAAACCCCATGTACATGTTTTAATGCTGAGTCATTCTGAAACTAATGCAGAGCAACCAGAGTTTGCTTGAGGATTAAAAATGGGAAGATAGTATCCCCGCTCTTCTTTCTACTTTATGATATAACAGCCAGAAGCATTATGTATACGTCAGACCTTGAGGCATAAAATGGAGTTGCAAAAGACAACAAGAGAAAAGCTTAAAGAAAACTGAAAACCCAGAGAAATACCGTAGCTCCATATAAATGGTAACACTTGGAAGTTGGCTGAAGGCAAAGTTAGAACTACTACTAAGGCAAACATTAATCTAAGATTTATTTTTAATTACATGCCACACTCAGGCCATTACCACGACTAGAGGGATCTGATCTTTCCCTGCTCCCTCCACTTGAGGTCACACTCTGTGATAAGCGGACAACCCGCCCTGAGGGCCATGACCTGGGCCTGCAGCCAGAAGCATGTACTTGCTTGTGTTTTTGCTGGAATAGAGTTATTCTTCTACATAGTAGCTAGCACGGGGCTGTGTTTTGGATTTGTGCTGAAAACAGGGCTGTCTCAGTCAGTGCTGAGCAGGGCTTACGCAGAGTCAGGGCCTCTTCTGCTTCTCACCCCACCAGCGAGCAGGCTGGGGGTGCACAAGAAGTTCGGAGGGGACACAGCCGGGACAGCTGACCCCAACTGACCAAAGGGATATTCCATACCATATGACGTCATGCTCAGCATAGAAAGCTGGGGGAAGAAGAAGGAAGGGGATGTTTGGAGTTATGGTGTTTGTCTTCCCAAGTAACCGTTATGTGTGATGGAGCCCTGCTCTCCTGGAGATGGCTGAACACCTGCCTGCACGTGGGGAGTGGTGAAGGAATTCCTTGGTTTGTTTTGCTTGCGTGCGCGGCTTTTGCTTTACCTGTTAAACTGTCTTTATCCCAACCCATGAGTTTTCTCACTTTCACTTTTCCCATTCTCTCTCCAATCCCACCGCGTGGGAGTGAGCAAGCGTCTGCGTGGGTCTTGGTTACTGGCTGGGGTTAAACCATGACACTGCTGAATCTGTACAGCAACATAGATCCTCTGCTCTACCTCCTCAAACCTGGTTCCTGGAAAGATCTTGTAGGGCTGCCTTAAGGACAAGTGAGCATCTAGTGTTGTAGGTGGACGTAGAAACTACGGTTTGATCCTATCCCTAGATAAACCCATGCCTTAACCACTCTATGAAAAAGGTATTGTTGATTTATGAGAGGCAAGAAGCTGGTCACTCTCATGAAGAACTGCATTTAATCCACAAATTACTTTTTTGAAGTGCTGCCTTTACAATGCAACAAGGAAATATCTGCACCGGTACACATGAAACAGACCATTAAACACACGATTCTCTGATTTTCACATGCATAGATACAATTTCAAGCCAAAGACACAGGACAGGTACAGATTCCTTCAAAAGTTTCACCCGATATGTACCTCAAGCATTCCTGAAAAGCATTTAGAATATGGGTGAAATGATTGATTTCCACCACCTGCAAGTATTATTTTTGGGAGAAGGCTTCCATGAAGAGCAATGAAATACTGCAAATAGTAAAAATTCTGGCCTCAAATAGCTGCAAGTTTTACCAGAGAGTAGCAGGGAACTTCAGGCTTTCCAGTCACTGAAGTTACTGAGGTATATGAACTCAAGTTGCTCAGCATGGCTGCAGCAACCTAATTTTCTTTTCCTCCCTCTGCTGGGGGAGATTAATCCCAACACAAAGAGTGTTAAGCTTTTAATGAGCATCTGGAGTTACTGCACAAGCAACACAAATATGAGCCCTTGTTTCATTTTGGAAAGAACGTTTTTCTCTTTTCAAACCAACTATTAACCCAGCATTGAGATGATGTCTATACAATATTCACACAAACATTCCCTGAGGGTTTAGGAGCAAAATTCACAAACATCTGTTGACAGAAAGCTCGCTCTTATTATCATATATCTGGCTTTTTTGCGTATGGGCGAGTCAGAAGGAGCAAGGGCCTGTCCCACAGATCTCTTTCTTCACGTAGGACGTTCCTGGGATTAGAAGCTATTGTCATAGGCAGACAGAATAAGTAGATGTCTCTATCGTTCACTGTGATGTTATTCTGTCTGCACATGGCCACACTTTTCCAAGAGGGCTGCTGAAATTCTGCAGTTTGGTAAGAACAACTCTCGAGTAAAAATGCAGTTTCTAATCAATGAAAATCAAGTGACTCCCTATTATTCACCATGAGAAGAAATCCATCCATTTCACATTCTTCATCATCCCTTACTATTCCCATAACAGTTTCTTGTAGCCTAGGACACTTTCCACCCACCTTTTACCTACTCACCTATTTTCAATTTGCCTAAGAACTACCTCACAAGTTATCATTTTGCAGCATGTGCCAGGTTAAAGGACAAAATACACCCACAGCCTCTTTAGTAAGCATCCTTAGAAGTCCTCTGAGTGAAGAGAGAGATCAGAAGAAAATAAGTCTTATTCCTTGACACACTGAATTACTAAGACCCTAGATTCCTAACTAGGATGCTTCTCCCCTGATACCAGTTTTCCGACCAGGTGCTGTGGAGTTAACTGGATGCTAAGTTTACTACTGCGGTGTGAAAGAACAAGAGAACCAAGGTCTCTGGCTCCCTCTCATTACTGCTTATTTAAGCTCAAAACTCAAGCCAATGACAGGGAAGGTGGAAATCCCTAACAGGGCTTGACCCTGCTGGGACAAGGCAACAACACATTGACATCATCTACTTCTTCCAAATTTCAGAATCTGTTTGAGACGTAAGGAGTCCTGGCACATGTAGCTAGGTGTTCCTAGTTAGAAATGGCCATAGCTGCACTTCGCTTGCCACCTCTGCTGTGGCACTGGCAGGCAGGCATGCATGCTCATAACGATCTCCATGAAAAGCTATGCTTTGGCATCACAGAAAGCTGGGCACTTTTCTTAGGACATTTAAAAATGAACCTGTAAAATAATTCTCTTTCATCCGCGCAATTAAAAAACAGTAATTAATTTCCATCTGCTCTGAGAGTACCTCTAAAAGGCAATTCAACTCCCTCATTTCAGAGAGCAGAAGCGGAAACTATTTTCCTGTCATTGTACCTGACTGAATGTCTTCCTTCTAAGCACTGTCAGCCAGTGGAGTGCCAGAGGCCGCCTTTTTGTTTTTAAAAGATTCTCAGGCTAATTCACTGCAGAGCATCTCAGTCATCTCTTGTCTTTCCATTTACACCACTACAGTTGTGTGCTTTACTTGTGCCAAACATAACATGGCAACTGCACCCTCCGTTGCTCTGAAGATACTCCGTCTCCTTCATGTGGGTTGATAGGCATGTATTACCTTAAGGTCCTTCTGAGGTATGCTCATAGATAAAGCAAATGTCTTAACTAACGTGCATGATTAACACACTCTGGTGATGTGACAGTGCTTTGGAATGGCGTATATTGCACACAGGTTAGTATTTCAGACCTGTGTCTGAGTATCAGGTTAGTATTTGTACATAACTTATTGGAACGGCCATTTTATCTGTTCTTTGTAGCTCCAACCACATTAAGTAGTCAGTCAGAAACGTAGAGCAGAAAGAGCTCCAAGTGGCAATGTGCCCACCTTTTCTTGCATTATGCATGACAACATGCTTTGTTCCCTCGTGCAGGGAGGTTCTAGGATAGCAGAAGCAGCTGGCAAGAGGAGAATAGAGTATCTACCCAGAGGCAATCTAAAACTCCCAAGTTAAACATTTTTCCTTCAAGAGTAATGCTTTACTACTGTCTGTGTGTAGTGCACCAATATAAATAGCTCAAACCATACTGCTGCCTGCTACTCTGGGATGAATATTTGTATTTGGTATCAAAGAAGAGAGGTGCAACACAGCATTGCTATTGAGAAGGAGGGTTTTTGGAAAACACTGGTTACTCAGTGAAAGGGCACCCTGCACAGTTAAGAAATATAGAATTATTCCTTAAAGATAAATTCGGGTGCCAAGGAAGTGGGTGGATCTCACCCAGTTTTTAGACACTGCCTTGACTCACTTTCGTGATGGTTGTAAGGTAACACAGTCATTGGAAGTGGATGGAACAGGGTCAGCTTAAAGAGTTGTTGGACGTCACTGATTTAGATTTCAGGCAAAACTAAAATTGAAATTCCAACTGTAAAATGCAACTCTAGTGCTTGATGATAGTGGGGGACACACACAACAAAGGAAGATATAGTACTGTGCATACAAAGCAATGTATCTCAAAGTTTATTCCCTTTATAGCTGACTTTCAGAGTAGATCAAGCTTTTTTCAAATTTTATATGCATTAATTCTTTCTCTTTTCATCATGCTAATGACAATTTGATCATTAAAACTTGCATTACCTCCATTGACGGAAAGAACTGAAAAATAACAGAAGCCTAATCTTTCAATTTTAGAAAAAAACAGATTTGTCTGATCTATACTCTCAAGTTTGACAGTGACTCTGACTCAGTTTACTCAGAAAATACTTAAACATACACTTAATTTTAATCAAGCAGGTAATCTTACTAATTCAGCAGAAAAAATAGACATGCTTGTAACTACTGTGCTTATATGTTTTAATAGATGAGGACCAAGCAACTGGCAGAAATTTTTTTTTTAAAAATCAATAATGAAATACAGTAAAGCTAGCTTCTCTGCAGAGAAATAAGTACTAAATTAAAATACAACTTGCATAAAAATGCTACTTTTCCAATGCAAAATTTATCCCTTTTATCAAATCTATTGTGATATTTATTTTTCTGAATGTTTCAACAGCTGGAAACAAATATTTTGGCTTTCATTTCAATGAAAGAAGCTCCATTCTAGCCCTCAGGTTGTTGAGAAAACATGAAAAAGTGAATTCAAGGCTCTAAAACCAGAAAACAAATAAAAGAATGAGTGAGTTATTTATTTATTGTTTAAAACTCATGACTACCTAATGCATGGAGTTGGAGATAATTGTCTTTTCTCTAGAAGAAATATAGTCTTCTTCCCTTATTTGTGGTATGGATAAAAATTACAGTTTAGGTGTAAGTACTGTAGCTCAATCAAGTTATTAATTATTTACAGTAGAGATTAATATGCTGGCATCCTTTAAATTTATGAGAATACAGTGATGGACTGAAAGTATGAGCCTGAACTGAATAAAAATAGCTTAAGTTCAGGGTGTACGTAACAAAGAAGCAGATCTATCATGAACACATCCACCAAAATAATTAATTTACAATCTATCATCCATATAAATAATACAAATCTTTGAAAGATATGCTACGAATGTTAAAATCTAAAAGCCATGTTTAATTCTTCTAGGCAATCTCAGACATCCTCTAAGAACTCCCTCTAAGGGAAAACAGCTCTGTTTTGCTGAAGGTTAATTCATGTGTATTTAAACTATTTATATTCAGCCAGGGAGGGGGGGAAACAATTTTCACTCATAACAGCATACGCTGTTCTAGTCTCCTTAAATCTGCCTAACTAGCAAAAAGAACTCAAGTAAAGACTATTTTCTTGTCTGGGCAAGAAGATACTCATCATCCTCACTGTTACACGCACAAGCAAGCAGTCACACAGAAGCACATTGTACTTAGGAAAATTCTTTCAAGTTAGTTTCAAAATACACAACGCATCTGAAAAATACTGTTTCATGGTTTTGCACTCCTTTCCCCCCTACCCCCAATAACATGTGACACGGACACTTCGGGCTTGTATTTGTTTATGCTGATTTGTAGGGTTTAGGATTGAATGCCAACCGAAATTTCTGACTACTTACCCACTCTTCCTCATCATACTCGGAATGATGGGGTATAGAGTCCTGTCTTTTAACCTGGGAAGGATGATCCTGATGCTGTAAATCACCCCCCTCTTCTGCAGTGTTTCGAGGCACAGCTGGTTTCTTCAGGACACAGCCAGGCCGGGCTGTGTATAGTGCTAAAAGGGCACTTCTGACCAGCTGATCCTTAAATGCATGCACAAACAACTCTGTCTAGAAAAAAAAAAAAAAAGGATGAAAAAGTTAGACCAAAGAATGCAATACAGCAGCATAGCTATTATAACACTGAATTACCCTTAGGCAGAGTGGATATTTGTTTCAGACCAGCCTGAGAGGCAAAACCAAAGTAGACCAACGAACAATGTGGAACAATTTAAGGGTTTTAGAGATGCCATCACATTCTACAATCCCAGCGTTCCAAGGATTAACGCAAAAGTACAGTATCTGTCATAGAGAGCATAATCTTTTCCCACAATCCTATTTTATTTGAGTTCCAAATTTTGCCTGCAGAGACAAACCTCTACAGGAACCAGTTCTAAGAGTAAGCAACCACTGCTCAGTAATTTGTGAGTAAGTGTCAGATAAAACATGCTTAACAAATTTAAGGATCTTCTCAAATAAAGACACACCACTCTACCCTGCTGAGATTGCAGCACCTGCAAAAGCAGTCTTTCGAGAGATAAATTTTGGTACTTGTAGGTACCAGATACTAGGGCAGGTGATGACATCTGATTTCTCTTTATTTTATTTATTTCTAAAGAAAGGAAACCTTGAAGTAGTTTTTCCAGGCTCTCTGAAGATGTTATTCAATCACTGCATCATTTTTCTAAATCCTTCCTGTTGACTGTGACAGCTACAAGTTATACCGTGTTTTTTAAAACCTCCAACCTCCCTGCATGATTTATCTCCCTTCAACCCCAACCAGAAAATGAAAATGCTTTCTGCATATGGTCTTTAGCATCTCTAGACTGTCTCCACGTGACAGCGCTGGCTGTTGCCACCAGTGTGCCACACATGCCCATCTCCTGCAGTCACACACAACATGTAGCCCTATCTCTCCCGGGTCAGCGGGATTGAGCTGCCTTCCTATTTACCCCAAACATAGTGGATTGTCACCTGCAGATTCAGACGCTGAACTGCCTTTGTGCACACAATCTTAATTAAACAGGCATGCGGAAAAGTATGTAGATAAGAGTCAGAGCAACCAGCCTGAACAAGCAGTCACACAAAGCTAGAAAATGATAGAAATAAAGGTTGCCCAGCCAAGCTTCATTCAGCCCTTTCATGCTTCTTATGCAAAACCTGGAGGAGAAGTACCAAAAAACCCCAAAGCAAACAAGTTTCAAGTGTCAGCACCTAGCTTCCTGGAAACCTTTCTCCCAGTTTCTGCACTCTTTTCTTCTATTTTCACCCCATCCCTTTTTGCTAATGCTTGTCCCCCTTTTGTATGCCTCTCCTCCTACTCAACTGATGTTTGTTGCTTTCCTACCTCAATACCCTCTCAAAAGTTTACTGACATTTACACCACAATACTCTAAATAATTGATGGTTCTCTTAAAGAGCCACCTGCTGGGTTAGGTACCTGCTTGAGACCTTTCTGCTTTTTCCCATTTTCACGATGTTTAGAAAAAAGGTGGTTTTGATCCTTAATGGTTGCACAGAGAAAGGCTGAAAATTTGGTGCAAATAAAACTCAAAAGTCTTAAAAATAAGAACCTTAGAGATATCTACGGTTCTTATGTAACTTACATGCAATTTATAACTAATCTAAGTTAAAATTTTTTTAAACCAACATCAGGACTTCTTTCAAAACTGATTTGGGATTCTTTAGTGATTAGACTTGGCAACACTATTCATCTCCCCAGCAATTTTACCAGACCCATTCTGTCTCCTCCTTGCTAACTTGGTGCCTGAGGGAAAGGGTGCTTAAACGGAGGGAATTTTCTTCTACTGCCTCATGGTAGTCCTGAATTGCACTACAGGACAATTTCCATTTTCAGCATTTCCAGCCTCCACATGGTGCATGCTCAGAGAATTCCGCCTTTGTGGAATATTGCTAGCAAATCCTTCCAATATTCTATAAAGAAGAGGCAAAGTGAGACTTGCTGAGTTGTCTTTTCTTGCACGATACCAGCAGAGATCCTCTTCAAAGCTGTTCTACACTTCCATATCAAGAGAGTCCAAACTATTTCACTTGTCTGTCCTTAGAAATGAAAGCATCACGGTTTTGCTGAGGTTTTGTACGTTCCCCCCAACTCAAAGTCTGCTTGAGATCATTTCAGGTCTCTGCATCAGGCACGGTAGACTCAAAAAAGCTTTAAGTTTCAGAGAAGTGTAAGTATTGGACAACTTGATGTAAGGAATGCCCACTCTGACTGCAATGTATACTAGGTAACTATCTGAAAAGTTTAAGTAATTTAATTTAGTATAAATATTTTATAGGGAAAATTCATTTTAAAAAACAAACTGGCACGGAAGTGAACCTCCATTTTTTCATATAGAGACTAAAATGCTTCTGTAATTACATTCCATTCAGGGATTCCATTGGTTTAACAACAATCTACATTTTAACTGCATTTTCTTACAGCTCAGTACAGCTAAATTTGCAGCACATCACTATTTATAAAATTCTATTGAAATCACAAAACAGATCTATACTAAGAAATGAAAACTTTGCAAATTCTTTTAGATACTTGGCTAAAGAATATTTCTGCAAACAAAGATAGGCATAGCTGGAAAATGAATTTATCAAGTCTTCTGCAAGCTGCAAATGCTGATACACTTGTCGACAGTTAAAGGCTTCCTTAATCAATTAACAGAAAGCGTTGATAAAAGGTTAGTTGCAAATCATATATGTAGAAGTAAACCCATGCTTAATATGAGAAAATAAGCTCAATTTAAGCAGCAGCAGTGGAATTATTTGATTTAATTTTCCACTTTCAATGCATGCAGCCAGTCCTTCCATTTCTAATGTAAATACTTAACTGTATAATATATAATAATTCACATTATTGATAGCTCAGATATATTCACTGCTACCTAATGTTTTTAGAAAGAATTATTCTCTATATCAAGGTTAACATTATCTTAAAATAAAAAGTGATATGCTTTTTTATGCACTTGAGGAATTTAATCACTAGGCAAATAATTTTTATGACTACTTCAAACAGCTGGTTAATTTCTAAATTTCTATCAAGATAAAATGTAAGAGAACGTTTCTTTTTTACATATAAAAAGTATACAAATGGTGGGAGAGCAGAAGCACCTCATATGCCTCAAGAATATAGGTAGGCATCATGCAATTCTGTTCAGAAGAGCATGCCAACCTATCTTAAATATAACCAGGGACACTCTGTTACTCTTGGTTCTCCCATACTGTATCAGATTGTATAGTCAGGTTATCTTAGGATATCAAGATGATGCTTTGTATTAACCACGAAGGATCCAATCGCAGCACCGTGTGGGTTCACTCAGTTTGGGTTTTTGAAACTTAATATCACCCTTCCCTGAAGTTGTTTCTTGGTCTTTCCTTTCATCCCCAACTCTCTTCCCTTCTTTACAAGCAGCTATCCCTCCACACTAGCTTCCTCAGCAATGGTCCTACCCTCTTTCTCAAGTATCGTCTTCTCCTTAGAGTAAATTTGAGAACTGACAGGGAAGCAGGTATTCAACCGTTCATGCAGCAGTTGTTCAGACAACTGGGTTCTTCTCTTCCAAGCAAAAGGTGGAGGCTAGGTAGTAACTATGGGCTGTCAGGTGGACTGTGTCAGATGAGACTCTCAATTCCACTTCTGGGAACCTGTGCTAACCAGCAATTTAATCCTGGCCCTGAAAAGTCAGTATGAACATACACAACTAACTCACCAGCTATAAATTTAAAATATCTGTGAGTTTTCCAAACTGAATGGATTGTCTCTTTGGGCGCTTTTCTGTCATCAGACTCTCCAAGAGGCCGTGGTTCAAACAGGGGGTTAGTACCACAGCTGCCTGCAGCCACTCTGAAACCGTTCACTCCTCCTGCCCAGACAGGCAAAGGCGGGGAGGGCAAAGCAAATGGCTACAGCGAACGTACAACCTCCTCAGCAACCAGGTCTTGAATCTTCAAAGACTTCTCTGTTTTGCTTTACTTGCGCATGCATATTTCTTTGAACTAACCACTAACAGAGCAGCTCCACTTTTTCTATGCACAGCTAAAAGTGGCCTCCTTCAGTACTTTGGGAAAGGTACACTATAATTGCCTCAAACACCCCCTAAATTCCTCCCTTTCATTTCCAGGCTGAATTCTACTTTCCTATATTATCCCTGACATTCACAGCAGCTCCGATGTTCTCAGAGTTACTGTGGATTTACACATCTGTAACCGAGAGCAACGTTTATCTCCCCCGTGGCTCTGGTGCAGCGCCTTCACACTATGTGGCTGAGCTCAATATTCAGATTTAAAACTCTCCCATTGAACGACGTACTGCTGGGATAATAGTGCTAAGCAGGCCACGGGGGTTGCCACTTCCCAATAGCTGAAGATATATTGAAATGGTTATTGATAGTGTTATCAAGCCACATTGAGATCACATTACAGAAGGTATGGCCCATGAAGCGATGGGAAGCTTTTTTCAACCCCTCTGGTCATAGCTATAGTGTTTACTATTTTTATAGGATTACATATGCTTAGAAGTACTTCAGACTTCAGCTAATCTCCAATATCACTCTGTGAGACAGGTGGAAAATATTATCTTCCTTAATTTAGAGCTAAAGAAACTAAGATGAGGAAGAGCCTACAGCTAGGGGAATATAATAGGAGAAAGAGGATTAAAATTTGAGACCTTCTGGTGCCATCTTCCTAGCTTCTCCTTCCAGACTGCATCACCATTTCTGATGATGCTTTTATTCTAAACCTTACGCACAAATCTGACTTGAACTACCTCCCACAAGCAGCAGTCTGAAGTATCACAGAAAGGGAAGGAAAATAACCACCTATCATACCACAAAATTATATACAATAATCTATTTTTGATAAACCCCAGTATGTGGCCACTAGAGGATAACAAAGACATATGAAATTCAATTAATTATACTTTCAAATAAAGATAACCTTTATAGATTTCATTAATTGTCTACATGGAAAGCCTACAGAAATGCTAAACAATTTTCTTTATCTGATAGCACCATTTTGAAGCTTATTTTAGCAGAGCTTATTTAACATTTCCTGATGCTACGAAAGTCAATTTATGCAGGAAAAAAACCAGCAGTTAGAGACTTGGTTATTCCATTTTCCATTGCAGTGCAGATTTGAATCTTACTTTTTCTGAAAGCATCTTTAAAGAATTCTTCAAACTGTCTGGAGAATGCTGGCTTGCAGAATTAAGCAGCAGGTCTGCATGGCTTGATATGAGAGGTTGTAGATGATTGATGTTGCTGAGAACTTCTTTTGCCTTGGCCGTGTTTTCAGGTGAATAGTAAATACACTGGTATCCAGTACTGTAATAACAGAGAAAGAATCACATAATGTCAAAATAATTTCTGCTATTAATAACAGTGCTTAATGTGCTAAAAACTTACCACTAGTTTTGCAAAAAAATGACAGATACCTGAACTTCACAGATATCACTGAAATGCTCCTCCTTCAATGGTAAAAACAATTGAACTTGCTTGAACAGTAGAGGACAACAGACTGCCCACCACCAAATACTCCAAGTAGTATGTACTCTAAGAGTACAACCTAATAATTCCTTTGAGTGATTGATCTTAACATAAGAAAACCAGATCATTTATTTATTTATTTATTTATTTAAAGAAATGCAATTCTGGAGAAACAAAAGGTTTAACCAAGTCAGGTAATGATCACAAAGAGCAAAAAGGCTCCTTATTTTTCCAGCTGAACTCCCCATCACATTATTAACTACCTCACTAAGTCTTTCAAAATGAGCTATTAATGTTTAATTAATGTTTAATTGATCAGTGGCCCACACTATGATTTGATTAGCACCAGTGATGTCCCGGAAGTGGTGATAACCAGTTATCTCCAATGAGAAACACGTGTCTAATTTGCAAGCAAAGACACAGAAATGGGGTGTGGGAGTTAATTACTACAAAAAACACACAAATGCATATTGCAAACTTCCTACTTGCCTTTTAACTGTTCACACACTACTGCTATTCTTTGGCATGACTTCTTTCCCT